GCATTTAATTTCTTTTCTCGAATCCAAATCAACAAAATCACATCCTAATCCACGTTAATTGAATTAAACCGAATCGAATAGTTGAAGTATCATTTTTAATCAACAATATAATTGTTAGTAGATCGAATGTTAACACGCTGATGTACTTATTAACACGACCCGTTTCGCTCATTAACGAAAAACATGATTTTGTAATATTAATAATGTACAGGGTGGTTTTAGTACACCCTGTATTTGATTTGTATTTGACCCACCAGAATTCGAAGTTCTCGAACAGTTCCAATTTAAACATAGAAATCTCTTCAAGTTGCCAGTAATAAATAACAGTATAATCAAGCAATAAACAATTTCTGTATTAAAACATTAGCTGGTTAATGTCGAATAATTACTCGACATTAACCAGCTAATGTTTTAATACAGAAAACTTATTGCGAAAAATATCACCTCAGCCAGGGTTTGAACCTGGACTTTTCCCTACTCTCTACGCGGGCGTCTCACCATTCCAATTTAAATTCGAACTGAGCTCGAATAGTTCGCTCATTCTGTTTCATTACGTATCTCTGTTATTTATAATTCCATACACAACCACGCGCGCACGGCTAGTCCCCAGCCTGTCCATTTTAGCGGCAGTTGGATACCGGGATATGTTCGATACAGGAAAGATCCGATATATAGGATTAAATCGTCACGGAGGTAGTTATATGACGTGAGGGAGATTCGCTTGGCGTGGTAGGATCGAATTATATCTCTTTCCTCGCTCTCTCATCCTCTCCGCTTGCAACAGATGCGCAAATGGCTGTATCTTCTATACCGCTCTCTTCGCTACTTTCTGGGGAAAACCGCATTCGGCGTTGTTGTCCAAGATGATGATGATAATGCCACGGACTTTGTCGACTCGAGATTTCGCAGCTCTTATCGCGCATCCCGACATCTACCCAGTACTCCTGTTGCGTAATGATGATCTTCCAACGGTCCTCCTCTTCGACGGTCTTTTTCCCGCGGGCGAGAGGGAGGTGAGCAAAATTTATTCGATTATATAGGAGAGGAGGAGAGTCCGTGTTTCGCGCTGGTATGCTCATAATTCGGACTTGGGTAATATGAATGTGGCGGTGGTACGAAGGTGCCCCCGGGGTACAAATAAGGTGCAGCTTTTATCTAAAACGCTTGGGAGTTCGGAAAGCACTTTGCGAGCGTTTCATCCGCCGGGAACCCGCGTGTATCTAATTTTGCCCCTGAAAACAGTGACGCATTATAGATTTCTCAGTGCGAAAGTAATTATCCGTAATTCCCGCGGGCGTTACTACGATGATCCGCTACGCGAGAATTTGCAGGCTCACGAGAACGGAGGCAGTCGAGTCGATCGGAACGGAAAGGCCGCGTGCGCGAGAAAATTGTAGATCGAAAATTGCGGAGGACAAGAGAACTGTTTTACGAGCGTAATATAAAAGTTTCCGTAGGTTTTATGCTACCTCGCCCCGAAACGGCGGCTCCTCAGAGCGAGTATTCATTGGAGAAGATACTTTTTTTAACACTTAGATCTTGGAACCCATTGTTGACTCAATTTCAAAATGTTACGCGACCTCTTTCGGTTCCCGCTGGTTTAGTTGTGCCGAATGGTCGCCGCGAGGGGGAACGCAATCTCCTCATTAAGTTTACGCAGACAAGGCGTAATCGCATAAGCTCCTGGACACATCGCCTGATTTCGATCACGTTCTCGCGCGATTATAATGTAAACGCGCTCCGTTTCTCCGTCTCGTAAGAGTCGAGATGCGTCGAAGACCACTCTCGGGGCCCAGTTAATAATCGCCACTGCGAGAAAGAGGATGGGATCCTTCTGTCCCTGCATACCCCGGCCCCCTAGGACGGGTCCCAATCCACCTGCGCGAGGATGGCCACTGCAGGCTCACGAGCCATCCGGCGTGATTAAGAATTAAATATTTATGAGCACGCCGACTCTTCGCGTCGGCGGCTGTATCGCGCTTTCTTCGGGGATTCACTCCCGTTGATAGGGCACTCTCGTTATGAATAGAGCGACGTGGAATCGCGCGAGATACCGGATAAGCACGTTGAAAGCGGACGAAAATAGGCTTCCGTCGACGCTTCCAAAGCGTCGAGCTCTCTCCCTCTCCCCCCCCCTCTCTCTCTCTCATTTTCTCTCTGACCTCTCCTTATAATCCAGAGCAGTCTCCTTAGTAACGTAAAGACGACCCCTTTGTGAAGCTGTTTAAGAGACTTCTTAATAGTGAATTTCTCTATGAATGATCTGACCTGTCGTGTCACAAAGCGCGACGTGACGAGTTGGATGGCGTCTAGCTCATCCGTGGAAACAGACTCCAGTCAAGTTTTCTTTTTCCTCGCCCTTTTCCTATCAAGCGTCCGCTCGTCAAACTGATCCGCCAGCGTGAATGAATGAAAGAAGGCGCGTATTTCGGTCACCTACATAATTAACCGGCCCCATTTTGTCGCGCCTTTTATACCCGCGTCCACGCTTTTCACATACACCCTTTCTTTACGACCGCCCACGGTTACCTCGTGATTGATCTACCCTCCCCCGTTCCTGTTTACAGTGCTTTAACCCTTTCACAAGCGCGACTCCGTCTGCCGCAGGAACTACCGCGAGAGATCCAAATCATTTCGTGACAATTCTCACAGGCTTGTCCCTATATCCATTAATATCTCCGTTGGAAGTAATGAAAATCTCTCTATTGAAAAATTCCAATACCGCGCATTCGCCTCGATTAGCGTCGCAAGTAAAAAAAACCCGTGTTGCGAGACCACAATCGGCGCGCGGTTTACTGAGCCGGAAGAGGCGAGAGACAAAATTGTCATAGAAAATTATTATTAGTCTGTCGGCCTCCAACCGAAAAAAAAAATGACACCTCTTCCAATTAACTGTAAAACGAAAGAGCGTGTTGTATCCGTGCAATAATAACAAATCCAGATTTCTGTTCCGCGGTTCTCGACACTCTCGCGTCGAACATATTTGACGTACCCTTTTTGCTCCCGACGGAAGCCTCATTCGCGGCACTTTGAACGTCGTTGCCGATCGCGTCGCTCTTACAGCGTCACAGGTGTAATAATCGTTGTATTAGCAGCGGCACGAAGAGAGGAGGAGACTTTGAGCGGAGAAAGACAACGATAGCAACAGGTGGCATCAAAAATTCATTCGCGATGGGCCTCCATCAACAGGGGACATCTGTTTCTGGGGATCGCTCGACCTTCTTAATTGCGATTCCGGTGAGTAATTAGCGCTTGCGGCGTTGCAGGTGTATCATTAGGGTAATGCGGGACGCACCGCGGAATCCACACGCGACGTAAATGTATCATGGTAGATTAAAGGGCGCCGTAAAAATGCCTAGAACATCTTACCGGATTGGCGCCGACACCGATCGACTGCTCCTCTTTAATATCAATAAAGGGTATATAAATTTGTACGCGTGTGCGGGATAAATTAAAATTCGAGATACGCGCATTAAATATTATTGGAAATTTTATACTTTGGATCAGAGCTCAGTTTATTTTTATGCCAATGCTTTAATCCGCGCAAGCAGTGTAAATATGAACAATTTCGTCGCGATACAAAACGAAATCTTCGTAAATTTAACATATGTATAAGTTCGAAGGACTTAGGTAAATTTAACAAATAAGGATCGAAGTGTCTCGATAAGCGAGTTATCGGGCGACGTAGTTTTAGTTCGTAGAAGTGAAAATTTGTCATGTATCAACAAACACGCCTACGAAATCGTGGATCTTTCCTTTTACAGACTTATTAAACGACATCAGCTTTCGAGTCCGAGTGCTCGAAGATTTAGAAGAGAAATAACGTTAACGTTTCTCAAGTTTTTCGTCACTTTCTGTCGCTAGCCAAGTGACAAATTTCGTCCGCAAGTAGTCCGTCGTACAAGTGAGGCCCGCATTCGTTTGTACGGCGTCCATGACCTGCCGACCTACCTGAACAAACATTCCCAATGTCCTGAAAATAGAGACGATAAATGAACGCATAGACTCGAAGTACTGGGCGGCAAATTGAACTGGATTTCGAGAATCTTGCAGGGCGCTCAGTGTCGAACGGGTCGATGCCGAGTTCTCGTCAGCTTCGACAAATTGTCCAACGTTAGATAACGAACGCGCGGTTCGGACGGGGTCGTCGTCCTCCTCTCTCGATTTCTGCGGAGTTGTCGGGTCGCCACGATTTTCGGGGAGCACTTGTTGGCGCGTCCGCCTGAATTCCGACGAAAAGAGCGGATGTATCGTCGCGTCCGTCGAGCTCTCCGCCGCTCCGCGTCGCCGAGGGTGTCGCTTCCCCGTGTCGCTTCCGCTGACCGTTTTGAGTTGCAAGAGCGCGTCCCTTTTAACAGCTCCTTCTCCACTTCCCGGAGACTGAGGAAACGATCGTTCGGCAATGGCGCTTCCGCCCCGAGGCGATAAAAGCGAATCGCGGGATAATTCCTCGGGCTTTCGTCGAGGCGTCCTCGAATTTATCGTCGGATCGCACGACGAATTTCCCCCGAAATCCATCAACTTTACGACACTCGTGCGAGGCCGCTGCGACGGCGCCGAGGAACTTCCGCCGTTGTTTAAAGGGACTCGGCGTCCTGCGGGATCCTCCTGCGGCGTCCAGGGATCGGATAACGTCTCGTCTACTCTTGAATCTCCTTTTTCCGACGACGAATACCGTCGAAAGGGAAACCGTCGGTTGCCCGCTGATCCTCCACGGGTAACTTGGAGTGAAAACGAACGCGACGCGAAAGCGTCCTCGACGGAAGAGTCACGATGGCTCGTCAGCGAACGTAAAACTTTACGACGCGAATCCTCCGCCCCCGGCGCCGCCGATCCGAAATCGACTTTGTCTTCGTCCCTGGGATTAGGCGTCGGATTAACGACGCGCGAACTGCTCCCGCGAGATGAAAGCTCGTGACCGTCTCGTGGAGCCTCCCGCGAAAGTTCCGGCACGATCGACAGGAGCGCTCGCCGTCTGAAATTTTCGCACGTGTGTCACTTTGCGGCTAAAGGGATTGAGCTAACGCGATAATATCATATCTTCAGCTTAACGTCTGGCGGGAAAGGTGAAATTTATACGACGGAAGCGCGTCGCGGCGAAAAAAAAAATGAATTGACGTTCTTACGTTCACGCTATCGGAAATTTAAAGAAATTTATAGGCTCGGTTTCACCAACGTCGCTGAACTTTAAAGTCAGCCTGATTCGTTCTTTGTCTCTGTCCAACTGTTACTCTGGAAAGAGACAAACTTGAATTAAACTGAGATTAAAAAAAAGAAATTATCAAGTATTAAGGCTCTGTACGAATAAAACAAATATATTAATCTTAAAGATCGGGCATTAAGAGCCAACACAGATGTTCGGTGATCAGTACATATATTTAGACACGGGGAAGTTCTTTTTAAAAATCGACCGAACTGACATAAAAGTGATATATATTTAAGGTCTGGTTTTACCAATGTTTAACTTTAAGCTTGGCGTACTTTGTTCTTTGTCTCTTTCCAATTGCTACTAGAAAGAGACAAACATGAATTAAACTAAGATTAAGCGACGTTTGGTGAAACCGGGCCTAAGTTACAACATTTCGACCTCTTAATCGGGTCCTTTTCAAGCACAATCCGGGAACGTATTTTAAAAGTACAAACCGCAATACAAAGAAAGGGACTTTTAGTACATAAGTATGTGTTACAAAGGAGAAGAACGCACCTAATGTTGACTCAACAAATTCATTTTACGCCGAAACAGAACGAGTTCGTGCATTGCGGTTTGTACTTTTAAAAAATGTTCCCAGATTTTAGTTGAAGAGGACCCGATTAAGAGGTCGAAACGTTGTAACTTAAATATATGTATATCACTTTTATGCCAGTTTGGTCGACTTTTAAAAAGAACTTCCCCGTGTTTAACTACCACTGGCGACAATAAGCCTCACTCAATTGATTGACAAATATTTAAATCGCAAATAAGCAAAAAATATATAGACAATACATTGGTCGCCAGACATTTCTAGTAAAGTGGCCCTTGACTCGCAGAAATTTTTAATAGATAAAAATTCGGTCGAAACTAAAACGCAATTAATATACGAAACTCGGTGACAGTTTCGGAAAAAGACAGAAAGTATAGAATATAACTTGTAGCATATCCAAATTTGCAGAACAGTAAGAGGCGCCCAATACTTTGCCGGGTACATGGCAGAGTCGCATTGTACGGAGAAATTAGACTATAAAAATCCGCAGGCGAGGTTACTAAGATTAAAGTTAAGCGACGTTTGGTGAAACCGGGCCATAGATCGCGCGCCGTGAAGCGAAGTTTACGGAAAACTTTTACAAGTAATCTCCATCGTGGCGAGCTACACAGTATCGGAAAACATTAACGAAAACTTTATTCGCGAAAGCGATGTCTTTACCTTCTCCCCGGGTAATAATCGATCGGCGCAGTTCTTTCGTTCTCGTCAATTTTCCTATTCCATTTCGTATAATTCGACACGGCTCCGGAGGCTCGCCTGGTTTCGCTCGCCGTCCACCTCCTTCGCCTTTGAATCGTCCTCGATCGCGCGGCGACTCGGCGTTCGCCAGGATGGTTCATGGGCTCGGTAACAACGGATCCCGCGAGCGTGCGTTTTTCTCGCAGACGCCTTCCTACCCCGAGGATCGGCGCCACCGCATCGGCTGCCACGTCTCGCGGAAATGGATCCTCCGCGGAGGTCGATCCGATGGACAGATTCGTCGGCGACTCGGTGCTTATCTTGAGCAAATAGCTCGCCCAGCAGTAACCGAGGGACACCTCCTCGCTGTACGCGTTGTATATTTTCCACCAATATCGGAGAGTTTGTTGCCACGGAAGGCCATACGTCCTCTGCTCGTCCTCTGCTGCTCTCGTTGATCCTGATATCAACGAGAGCAACAGACCGGAAAGTATCAGAATCGTGGACGACATCGATTCGCGTCACCGTGCTCCTGGAGAGGACAGAAATGGATACGAACGATCATCTTTTCGGACGTGCGCATAAATCGGCGCATGAATCCTGTCGGGGCGGAAGGACCGGCACGCCTCATATCTCCGAGGCGGCCCAGGAGATCCGGCGGTTATTCGGAAAAATCGTTCCCGTCTCTCTTTCACGCCCGGGAGAAAAGTGAAAATTGGAAAATTGGCGGGAAGGGGTGGGAGCGGGAATTAACGTTCCGTGATTCGCAAAGTCTTCGGTCGTCTTGTTAGTTTTCGCAGCACGAGTCAACGCGCCGGGGCCTGGGAGGTCCTGAATAAAGAAGCGATTTTTACCTCTCCCGCCGGGGGCTCGAATATTTTCTCTGTTTAATTAGGTTTTCCGGTTCATAAGGGAGGAACCTTTGGAAGTAGATTTTTAGTGCCGAAAAGGGAGGGTCGAGATTTGTATCTCGCCACAATGTGAAAAAAAAATGCGTTTTGCCAAAACGTCGGACTTTGAAAAGTGACCGAGAAGGGTTAAAAACGCGAGATCGCGCGAATCGCGTGCGGCTGATGAAAAATTCGGGGCGTTCGCGTACGCTTTATGAACAATTAATACAAATTTGGCAGAAAGATGAATATCGCATGAAAGCTTTGTGAATGATAAAAGAGGGGAGCGCGAAAGCGGTCTTTCGCGGGATTAAAAGGAATGTAGAAGTACCTGGTGCGTCTGGTATTACGTCCCGTCGTCACTGATGCTCACTGGAATTTCCAACTGAGGACACGTTCTCTCGCCGTGGCGATAATATTCAGAGTTGTCGGCGATAACGAGCGCGGCGGCGATCGGAAAAAAAAAAAAAATACTCATCCGCTCGGACGTACGTACGATCGCGCCGATTGCATAACGAGTAAACGTGCGCGGGCGCGTACGTTTACAAAACAAAATGAAAAAAAAGGGAGGAAAAAATGCTGTAATCGGATTCGTCGATTCGCGTTCGCGGGAGGGGGGTGGAAAACGGGGCCCCCCCGTGAATATTTATCCAGAATCGAGGAGAAGGAGAGTGAGATTTTCTCCTGGTGACTCTGAGCGGCGGACTGACTGGCTTCTCTCGCTGCAACCGCCGTCACAATTAACGCTGGCGCCACAAAAGTGCGTAAAATGCATAACTCGCTTCCGTAGGATCCGTGTCCCGCCCCCCCCCCTTTCGTCCCTTTCGTATATCCAGCGGCTCGTATCCTCCTCATTTTTCGTTGTTTTTCCCGATATGCAGGCAGTTTCACGCGAGGCTAACGGAACCCGCCACGCGGTTAGAAACAAGAATGACGACGAGGAGTAGGTCGCATTCCTAACACCATTCCTCGAATAATCTTAGCGCGGTTTGTTTCGAGTGGAATCCTGGGATTATCTGACACCGGAGCGATTTACAAGAGTCGTTCGGAGACGCGAACCGAACGCGCGTTCGCTCGAGAAAAAGAAGAAAAAAGAAGGGAGGGCGTCATTACCTTCCATAGACTTATACAGCGTCTTCATACGAGTAAGCTGAAGACAAGATCTGAAGGACAGAGATAGTCCGTGATGCTGTGTCTCATGTGCAGAGAGTGAGAGAGACCAACTTGCGCATTAGACACCATTACTTTAGTATTGATTAGTATGTTCACTCTTTGTCGGCCCTTTGATCTTCTCGGTCCCGATCACGTGGTATCCCGCCATGTCTCTGGTCCAAATCCAGCGGCGTATGTGTGCGTACGTACGTGTAAGTTGATGTGTGTAGCTTTGATACCACACGTACATACAAGTTTTCTGTCATTGGCTGGACCAAGAAAGTGTCGGATGCGCAGAAGGGATCGACGCGAAACGAAACAAATGGCGGATTTCAATTTTCTAGTCGAGATGAAGTAAAATGAACGTCTAATTCACTAGCACCCAGTGAGAAACGATTCGTCGATTCGACATTGATCGACGAATCGACACCGTCTAATTGACGTCGACTCGACGTCGTTTCGACATCGATCATTTCTCGCTGAGTATTTCTACACACTTTCCTGCTAGTTATACTGTGCCATTGCGGTCTCTAGTGCGCTCTCTTTTTATGTGCCATCTTCAAGACCTCTCGCGAGGTGCGCGGTCTACCTGCATAAGTCCACGTTTACCTTCCTGCCGCCATGAAGAACGGAGGTAGGAGCAGGACGTCTGTTGTCAGCGAGCGCTGAGCACAGCGGGAGGAGCAATAAAAAGAGATATTGCGCCGAGCACGCGGACAATTATCGCGGTTTAATTGAAAGAGTTTAAGCGCGAGAATGAGCCGAGAACTTTATAAACTTTGCCGGTCCGGGGGTATTTGCGAAACGCGTCGTTTAGTAACCGACCCCGGCAACGTGGTCCGTCGCGAGAATAAATAGTCGCTGATCTCTTTAACGAAAATACACTACTAACGGAAAAGTAGAAACAGAGAATAATAACCTCGTGTGTATGGAGAATATTTTTCTCACTTTATATTATGAAACGAGCACATTTTGTGAATGGAAAACGACAGCGACACAGTCCGTGAAATTGATAAAAAAAGATAAAACGTGTATCTATGAATATTGTAGAGATTTATTTACCGCGAATATAATTTCGGATACAAGATTTTTTAATGTTGAAAGGAAATAAAACGGTAAAAAGAGGGTCTAGATTAGCGTTTCTCAAACTTTTTAGTCCCGCGATGTCCCGAAAAACACGTACAAACAGTAAATTTAATACTGTGAAATTAATGTAAAAAGATGAAACATGTATCTATGAATGTTGTAGAGATTTATTTGCCGTGGATATAATTTCGGATACAAAATTTTTTAATGTTTAAAGGAAATAAAACGAACGGTAAAAAGAGGGCCTAGATAAGCGTTTCTCAAACTTTTTAGTCCCGCGACGTCCCGAAAAACACGTAAAAACGGTAAAATTAATATTTTGCCAGGCCCCCTTGCAAAAATGCAGTAGGGTGGAGCGTGGCTATTTCGCTTGGTTAAAGAAAAATTCGTATAAGAAATTTTAGAAATTTAATTATTTCCCCCATCCTCCCTCTCCTGAATTGTTACGGAAGTAATGAGAAACGCTGTTCTATAAAATATTGTATATATATTTTTGTATGTGTTTTACGACCGGATCATTGCGTGTGCTTTAATGGAGTTGAGTAATCCTTCGCTTCAGCTGCACTTGCCCGAGTAACCAATTAACGAATTACCCGGGACTTTATCTACCAGCCGTTCGCCGTTTTATTTGCCCGTTGTTCGCCGTGAAATAAAGGCATTCTTACGTCTGTCGCTAATTAACAGCGAAAGCGATTTCGCAGCCACGCTTCTTTCCTTTCTTTTCACAGCTGGATTTATGGTACCATGAACCCCGCCTTTTACAACTCAACAATGAATGAATTAGAGTCTCTCGACCTGACGGAGCGCAAGCAACGTTATTTTCATACATTTTTATTTCAATCCTTTATTATTTTATTCATCATCTTCGTTGCGAAGTTTTATTATCGACCCTCCACGTGCCCGCGATTGTAAAGGAACGGGAACGATTTCTCTGAAGAAGGTCTTGCTGTAAAAGGAGGAGAAAAAAAAGGGACAAAGAAGAAACAAAATTATCTCGCAGTATATATTTACTAATAAAAAAAAGTAGAGATTTATAAAACTTCATAAATTTAAAGCAGAGGCCAGCCGCGCGCGCGATAACTCGCCCGTGAGTGCGCGAAGGGGTTAAATTACACATTTCTCATCCCGCGTCTCCTTTTTGTTCCTTTTCGCCGCGCCTTTTCCCACTTATCCTCGTCGCTTGGTTGTTTTTCTCCGCCCCAGTTTTCCGCTGTACGTACGTAACAGAAGATCCAGGCGAGGGGACGGGGAGCGGGGGGAGGGGGAGGGGGAAAAAGCAGTGCTGAGCGCATGGATGATCCACGTAACCGCACTCCTGTGCCTGGGAGATCCTAGATCCCCTTAACCCCTCGAAACACGACGAGAAAGCGATAGCTGCATTCTCTCCATTTCGCCGTCTACCTTCCCGCTCCTTTTTCTTTGTCGTTCTCTCTCCCTCCCCTCCCTCTCTCTCTCTGTCGTCTCTTTCTCTCCTCGTTGTCCTTTCTGTCCCGTGCCTTCCGTTTACTGCCTCCGTAGCACTCCACTTTGTCTTGCGCTCGACAGTTACATCGACACCCACTCGTCCGGGGTAAGTCTGACCGGCAATTCACCCTGGAGTGGTGCACAGATATGGGCGGCGGCGGCGGCGGTGGTTCAGGGTGCTCTTCTGGAATGTCAATCGCACTTCCACGAGACGAGAATGGAATAATTGGAGCACCGGCTTTTCGCGATGACCGAGTCCATTTTTTTCCCCCTACGGCTGTCGGGAAGAGCAATTTTTCTCCCCGGGACGCGAGCGTCACGGGAACGCTAATTGAGGATTTTCGTTTCTTGCGCGACGCGTTGTTAACATTTCAACCGTCTCATCGCGCAGTAAGATCAATCCGGTCCAGAATTGGGATTACGTGCACGATCGAATTCGATCAGTCGACTTCTCGTACGTTTCTACTCTACAGGTTTCATGGTTCATGCTTATTTATTATAGGATAGTTAGCGATGTACAACTCTGCCGTTGCAAATCGTATCAGTGAGTGATGAATTACTTTTTATTTTAAATTGACGTTGCGCATACAACTACTTCTTTGCAGTACTGCTTTGCAGTTACTACTAAACGCGATGCGCGCGTTTTGTCATTTCTAGTGCTAATAAATAAGTGCCTTTTTCAACATTACAATTCCTTTTACCTTATAAATCCTCGACGCAAAATGTATAATACATCATATTCACGTGTGTTAATGTCAAAATATTGCAACACCTTTATACATTTGTGATCGAATTGAAACTTACTCTGTCCCAGGGTTGGGAAGTAACTCGTTACTTGTAACGAAATTACAGTTACAGCTTCTTCTTTTTGGTAACTTTAACTTAACTCACAATCAGTTACATTTTTCCGATAACTGGCAACTAATTTACTAGTTACTTAATTTTAAACCTCCACAGATCGCATCAGACCTTGCATTTGCGCATAAACGCCTTTATCGACGCTTTCCGATTCAAATGCAGATTTCGTATTTTTATTTTTATTTTCACTGCAAGAACGAGAGAGAGAGAGAGAGAGAGAGAGAGAGAGAGAGAGAGAGAGAGAGAGAGAGAGAGAGAGTAACTGCAAAGTAACGATTCGTTACTTTTTCAGTAACTACTGTAACTAGTTACATTTTTAGCGAAAACACTGCAACTGTAACTAGATACTTTTATGAGGCAATCTGATATGATACTTTTCCGACCCTGCTCTGTTCATTATTTATTGCAACAAATTACAATTTTTGTAATTTATTTTCCTGAATTGTACCCTTTTCCCGTCTTTTTATAAATCAAGATAGCATCATTATACTGTCTTTTCCCTTATTTTTAACCGTGCTGACGAAGATCAAGCAAAATCGAAACGTCTTTGTATATTTATTCATTTATTTATCTAATTTATTGTCTATAATTAAGGCGATTTATTGGCTCATAATATTGGCCGTATTACTCTAGACTGTAATTTGCGAAAAATGAGGGATTTTTAAATTGCTGGTTTATACATTTATCCTTATATAATATTCAATTATTTACTCTGCATTTACTCTGCAGAAAGGTTACCTAACAAAACAAAATCGTCTGAAAAGCGTCGGCCCTAAATGTGTTGTTGGTAGCCCACGGCAAGTTTTAGCAGTTGAGTCTTAAGATTAAAGTTTTTAGATTCTTGGCCGTGTTACAAAGGGGGTACATAAATCAGCTCTTAAGTTTTAACTAAATGACAAGCGGGGAGCCGAGGAGCAACATCCAGGAAGAGAGTAAAAAACGATGTTACGTACGCGAAGTCGCTAAGCTGCTTT